CAAGAGTCTTCCACACCAAAAGTGAGGACAGCGCAGCCTGCTACTGCTAGATACTAGAAACAACACACTTAGACCAGGGAGAATAGGCCTGAGGAAAAAGGACTGTGTGGCAACTATGAAGCCTTCAGGAAACACAGCACAGCGCACACAGCCGGAGCTGAAAATCCGACTTGCCCCCTAAGAGCGAAAGGGGAAGGAGCGAGCAGCCGGGAGGAAGGAGCAGACACATGGCTGTGCTAACTCGGGGCTGGACTGGGTGCCGCCGTGCTGCTGCTCCTCTGGCACTTCGGGGCTGCCCGGGCTGGGAGGTGCTAAGGTCACGGCTGAGTTTGCTCACAGCGAACTGAAGGCCTTTGTGCAGCGCTGCTGCTCTCGCTGCTTTCAGTTCCTCCACGGGCATGAGGGCAGCACACGCTCCCCGGCCGCCAAGCTCGCCTGCCCTGGCTGCTGGGCAAACAAACAGGCCCTGGCCGCCTGGCACACAGGGCACAGGGCAGCCTCTGCATCACGAGGAACTGCAAGAACGTTGGAAGAGCTTAAAGTCATTTTTAATCCTCAAGATGCAGAACAAGGCAACACTTATCACATAATAAACATATTTATTCCTTTAAAAATTTGCCTTTAGCTGCCAAGATGGCTAGGAATTCTCTCCTCCTTACTTGTAATTGCAAGCCCATCTGTAGTTAGCTCTTTCCCACAGTCTCTGCTGCAACCTCCAAACTTGGCTTCAACACCTTCAGATGCAAAAACAAGACATCCTATCAACTGCTCCCTCTTTTATCATTGTGAGAATCAGCCTGCATGTAGCACCTCTCGTAGCTTTGCTAGCATTATTCTTCTCATAATCCTTCAGAACTTGTCTAGTCAGGGTCTGAGCATTTTGCTGGCTTCCTATTTTAAGATCCACACCCCTAAAATTTAAAATAAAAAACAAGGAAACTCTGAGGCCAGGTCCACCTTCCTTTATGACAAAAGTAACAAGCTGTTCCTTGTTGAATCTAGATTGGGGAATCAAAATTAGCCTGGGATCGTTCCTTGGGAAGCCTTTTCTGGCAAGACTCAAAGTTTTGTGGAAACAGTGGAGAAGCCACTTAGACGAGCATAGAATAAGCACTGCAGAGAGTGCTTCCACATCTCACAAGCCCCAAGGACATACACAATATGATTAGAGCAGGGGTTCTCAAGCTGCAGTGCATGTACCCCTTGCAGTAAATGAAGCTCTAGCAACTGTAGAAACAGCAGCTCCAAAATCTTTCAGTGCAGTGGAAATTAAGGTCACCGATATTTTGAGACACAAGGCATACAGTTTGGGGTTCCTGAAAACCTGAGATGACAAACATCCTAGTTGAATCTGCTACTTTCCCACCCAAGTTTTTCAGGCAAGAAAAATAAAAATGAAAACATAGTAATGAGATCCAGTTTGGAGACTTAGACATATGGTAACTATGTACAAACAAATCAGTGAAGTCAGGAGTAGCTGCTGCTGCCACCACCCAAAGTGATACTGGACAAAATTAAACTTAGAAGCCCCTAGATCAGAAAATTCTAAAATTCTGTTTTAATACAAACTCACACATTAAACAGACTGCCAACAGACCATCCTTTTTGACCAATATGAGCACCTTGGCTTAAATTCTGAGTTAAGAAATATTTTGTGCATGTGAAGGAGTGAGAAAGGGAGAATCCCTTGCTTCTGACTGCAGTAGCCCTCCCAAGTTGCCTAGGGTAACTTGGGCTGTCATTCTACCTTTTGACTGATGACAGGGAGGCTGGCTTGTCTGCCTCCCCTCACCACTTAAATAAATCTGTCAGAACAGCCAAAGAAAAATGGTGTCAAGTACTCTAGAAGAGCTGTGATGATCTTGTCTATTTTAGAAAAAGATGTCATGAATAAAACAAGAAGCTAATAAAACGGAGGTCTTGGAAAACACCTAACATTTCATTGTTGAATTTTTGCTAACATACTGCCCGTAAGACTTCTAAGGGATGAACCTGAGCAAGATGAACTTGCTGTTGAATCCAAGATACTTTTTGTCAACACAGAAATCTACTCATTAGAAAGATTTCTTTCTCACTAGCCTTGGTGACGCAGAACTGGAGTTAGGAGGACAGAGCAAGTGTGATGCAGTGGCCATGGGCTAAGCAAGGCAAAGAAGGCAGGGCTGGAGCAAGTGTGGCACTGTGTCGGTGTGATTAAAAGCGAGCCTATGCCTGTGTACAACTTGGAACGCCCTGCCTGCTGCGCAGCTCTCCAGACTTCTCATTTGGGGCACAGGGAAACCTGTACTGCTATGTGGGTGGGAACTAGACAAAAGTTTATAGAAAATGGTTAAAGTAAAAACAACAAAATCTCAAAAGAAAGAGCACCACAGGCTTATAAAATAGCATTTTAACATACCCACAACTGTTCCCTGTCCATTATAAACTCTAAATCTCCTTTTCTATTTTGCCATATTGATGTGGCACATCACCCCATAGAGCCAAAGGAATCCAACAAAAGAAAGGAGGACAAATGACTGCTCAGAAACATTTAGATAAATCCATACTGACAGAAATTCGAGAGGAAATTAAAGAGAAGGAAAATTTGTCGGTAAGAACAGCCTGAAATGTAAAATTCAGAAGCACCAAAACAAAATGAAGTCTTTTCAGACAAACCTCAGCAGCACTAAAATGGCTTAAATATACTACAGAGACATACAAAAGCTGTAAGGACTGAATGTCAAAGACAGATATTTGAAGTGGATCCAAGGATTATTATTTCTTTTAATCAGTGAAAGCCAGATAAGAGAGCCATTGAGAAAACATTCCCATTCTTGCTGAATTCTACAACTGCTGGACCAGAACCTCACCAGATAAAAATAGGAAGTTTTTCTTCCAAGTCATCCAACACAGAGCTGACTCCATCAGATGACCCTCTATGAACTGCTGACCTCCAAAGTAACAAGCCAAATAGCAAACAAGGGATTTTCAATGCAAGACAGCTCCATATATTACAACCTTGATATTCCTTCTTGAATTCTCTTTAAAAATAAGATTCAAATCTTTCTTCAGAGAAATGCATAAGAATGTTTCACAGCCTCAGTTATGAAGCACTGACTCAATAATTCCAAACGAAAAAAAAAAAAAAAAAAGAATCAACTCCAAGTTTTCTGATATAAGCAGCCATGAAGACAACATCAACAACATCCTAAGACGATTCTTTCTGTATCTTGCTCTGAAAATAAAAACAGAGTAACTCAAGCACTACAAACCATTGCAAAGCTTTGGTCCTCTAATATGCAGAATATGCAGAGTACGTATTCTCTGAGTGCTGAGACACAGAATCATAGAATACTTAAGGTTGGAATGGATCTTTGGAGATCATCTAGTCCAACCTCCTGCACACCCAGGGTCACATGAAATCCTTCATGATAGGTTTGAAGACTCAAATCTACCCTAGATGAGCCTATATGCTTCTTATATACTCTTGGATTTCTCGATGAAATAAGCAGAATTTCTACAGACGTTAAATTACATATAGTGCTAGATGAGAGACAGCCCTGGTGTGGTTCAGAATGGTGCTCCCAGCACTGAAGGGTGGGTGACAGATCTACAGATAACATACAACAGAAACTGCTTCAAAGCAACATAACTACAATGCCTTCTGCAGAGATCTGCATTAGGAGATTTTGCTTCTAACAGCAGAACAGCTTCCAGGGTCCACTTTCCTGCTAAGTCTGTGAATCTACCCAGGGGTGCAGGCAGGGTTGAGAAAGGAGCAGCAGCTCTAGGACAGTCCGCACTCCGCTGCGCACGGAGGCTGCCTAGGAGAGGAGGGCAGCTTACACCTGCTGGATGGGTTCTTTATTTGGATTAGGTAATAGCTGCCCTGGCTGGGCTCCAAGAGCAGAATCACCACCTCTCTCAATAACTCGAAGCCCCAGAGGCGAACAATGTGCTGGAAAAGAAACAGGCCAGGAATTCATTTCTCACATTCCTTTTCTTCAGGCAAGAGGAAAAACAGTGACTGATGAAATAAGAACAATTTTACTTGAGCTTTCCAAATCCTTCTGCAATCCTTCTATTGAAGGACCCCTTTGGGAAAGGATGACCACCCAGCTCACATGCCTTCTGCACTGTGTCTGCCCCTCTCACCTCCCTCCTTTCAGGCATCAACGATAAGGATCAGTATTTTCATTTATACAGTCCTGTCTAGCCCAAACCCACATATTGGAGGTCTGCCTCATTATTTCCATTTTCAAAGGCAAAAATAGTCTCAGGCAAAGAAAGATTTTTTTTTACTCAAGCAATGCAGGAAGAAGTAGGATATCGAGCAGTTCTGGGCCTCTGTTCAGCCTAGTGTATTGCCACCATCTCCCCTAACTCATAGCTTCCAGGTTCCACAATCCTGGGGACAAACCTTGCTGCTCTTTCAGCCCCAGGAAGAATAGTTTTATTGCAGAATCACAGCCCCCTACTCAGTATCCCATGTGTATACACTCAGAAATAGAAATTCTTATGTCCTAACTACTTTCAAAATTAATAAATAGCCCTAAATAATAAATAGCGTAAGACCTTTAAAAGGGAAACTTTTAGAAAAAATGCAGTAGGTTACTCTGTATTTCAGCATTTAATGTTCAAGGAAAAGAAGCATAAAAATTAGGCCCTGGTGGAGGCTTTTGCAATATTATGTATAGACTTACATTCTGTATAAGTATCTTAGCATCAGAAAGAACTCAGACTTATAGACACAGGATAGGAGGTAATTAGAAAAGAGAAAGAGATATCTCCTTTTCATTCAACATGTCCATCCATTTCCTTATTTTACCTAGATCCTTCCAGCTCTAGGAACAGCTCTGCTTCACAGGCTTAGTGTCTAGGACCGCTCGGGGAAGAGCTGGTACCTAGCATTCAGACACAACCTTCTGAGCAAGCAGCAAAGCACATGTTATGAAAGAGCCCTGGGTGCCAGGAATTGCTCTCCCTGCCTTCAGAAAGCTGCAGCAGCAATTTTCCCTTACCTGACTGCTGAAGTCACAGGCCGCCTGTCAGCTACGTGCGTGTCGGACTGAGCAGCCCACGGGGGCCCTCTCCTGCCCAGCGAGCCCTGGTAGCCTGGGGCAGAGGCTGCGCTCGCCTTGCTCACAGCTCCGCTTGCCAAGCTCAGGTTTGTTAACTGCAGGGACAAACAAAAACACATCAGAACATTAAGAGCTAAGAGTACAAGGTACACTGCACAGGGTGTACCTCTGTGCAGGAAAGGGAAAGAGAAGGGAAGGGAAGTAGAGAAGGGAAATCTCAACATGTAGAAAAATGCACTAGCTATACAGCACAGTTGGAGACATCACACCCATAGCTGCTATGCCTGAGATGAATTCAGGTACCAACATTAAGTTGTAGCCTTTTCACACAGGGAGGAAAAGATGAAAATGTGGTGGAAAACCTAAAGCAAAAAAGCAGCATCATGTTCTTGCCATAGGCATAATAAGGATACAGTAAAAACAAACAAAAAACTTAAAAATGTACTAATCAAGTAAAATTTCCTACTATTTTCTCAAACAGAACCTAGTCAGAGCCCATAAGTTGCCTGTCCAGCCTAAGTTGTGCCACTGAGCCGGAACACACATGTGTGTGTCTTCTCTCTCCTTCACTCTACGCAAATGTAGATACACAACCCATCAGCACAGGTATCTAGATACCAAATTCCAGACCCAACTGTACCACACAGGAAAGGAACCACTCAAACTGCTCATAGAGGTAACCAGGCTAGTTAGCTAGTGATGGCCTAAGAATCATGTTAGGTATCTGCTCGTTATATCAAGCTGTAATGTTTTTAAGCATATCAAATGGATATCCCATTGTTTCCTTCTCTGAGTATTCTTCTTGTGTTCATTATTTTAGAAGATCAGTCTCTGTAAAGAGAAACGATCTGTCGGTTTGTTGAAGGCTGCCTGAACATACAAGGTAATGGCATCTTTTGCAGCAGTATTAAACTATTTTTTAAAAGCTATTTTTAAAAAAAAAGTTACAAAACAAAGGTTGCAAAGTTAAAATTCCAAGTCAGGCACTGCCAGAAGTAAGTGTACAACTGTCTTTAATTATGTGATCACATACACTGTTTTAGAAGCACAGAACAGACCTGGTTCTGTTTCAAGATTAATACAGCAAACAACTTGTCTGTATTGCCCCTGCTAATTTCTGTGGAATGAAAAGCAAGTAGCCAAGGACACACAGGGCACAAGCAGGAAGGACGGTCTAACCTGAGCACTGCATTTGCTCCAGAACTCCAAACTGATGCTTATTATGTCACTTAAATGGGACTTAATTCTCTTGAATTGCTTAAACATAATTTGTGAATTGCCAACTTGGCCATCCTAAGAATATTCTTCTTAAGAATTCATAAGAATTCGTGTGCAATTACTCCAACTAAGACTAGCACGTGCCAGCACCATTGCACGGTACCCCCCTCCTACACACAGTGGTCGTATATAGGGCTGCAAACGTCGTATCCTCTGACTGAAGCCTGGCACATGAACTCACAGCGTATGTGTCAGTGTTGTAAATTGTCACCCCTTCTGTGGTTTAGCACTAGAACACATCTAAGCAATAGGTGAAGTTCAGAAATTTTGACATTCTTCAAATTCTTGGCAGAAATAAACTATAGTGACTGCTCACTGCTTTTCTGCCCACTTTTCCAGGAATAGGCCATTCTAACTTACCTCCTTCCAGTTTCACCCCTTCCCATTTCTACTCTAAGCCTGTGTGGTGCCCTTTCCATCTCATCAGTCCCAGATCCCACTTTTCAGATCTCTTTGCCCTTATTGGGCATGTTCAGGTTTCATTTCTGATGAACCTCACTTCCTCAAGCCCTGACCCACACTATCTCAGGCCCCAGAACTTTTAATGGGAGTAGACTATTTGAGCTGTCTCTCTCCACTCAGCTTCAGTTCCTCTTCCAGTTGCTCACATGCCCCATTCCGAGTGCTTCTAGTTTTATTCTTGCCATTTCTGCTCTTTTTGCCAGTCCTGTTCACCCCATCGCAGCATCTGGGCTCCTCTCATCCACATGCCATATTTACTACCTGATGATTCCTTCCATATCTGTCCTTCAGTCCTGATGTGCCTCCTCCAAATTACATCCACACGCCAATTTTCCATCACGCCTTGCCCTAGCTGTTCTTCACACCGTGGCAGATTTGAAGTTAACTTATTTCAGAACATAATGAGCAATTTAAAGAAAAGACTCACAGTGGAATATATTGGGTGAGTTTAGCAATGGAGAGTGCTACCCGACTTGTACAGAAATCAACTTCAAAAGTCATTTTGATGCCTTTGCCTCACCCTATTGTCTTCAGTAGATTTCATTGTTTTAGAGTATTTCTATTACAGTAACAGAAAATCTCTATACAGATATACAAACACACACACAATTTCTGGCTAGAGAGAGTTTATGGTCAGAAAAACAGCAGGAATTGCAAATGAAACGGAGGCCTATATGCTAAATGCAATGGGATAAGTATAATTCTTAGCCTGTGAGCAACAGTGATCACAGCTTTGCTAAAGCAGCTATGTGCAAAAAGGAGTCTCGATGCAGTCCACTCTCCTCTCCATGCTAACACCATTTAGCCTGAATTACCACCTGAGCCCCCAGCCTCCTACTGGGGTCTATTTTCCTCTCTCCTAGTGCATCGCTGATGTTTGAAAGCCGCCTTTCCGAGAGCGGCAGGTGAGCCACCAGCTCAGCGTGGGCAGCAGGGCTGTTTCACACATGCCGGAGAGACAGGTGTTGAAATTGGAGCAGGATTAAACACAGGCAGTGGATCCAAAGAGAGGGAGAGCGCAGCAGCAAGGGTAGCCCACCCAGCTGGGCATTACTGCTTCTCCCTGAGCCAGGCTCCGGAGCTTGCCAGGAAGCTGCCACATGGCATTCCTGGGGCACCCCCTGCACATTGGTGCTCCATGGAGTGGCTTTCTTTTCTAAGCACTAGGACGTGATGAAACTCCATTCATCTCTTCATACAGAAGTAAATATTCACCAATAAATCAATGGTTGCTTTGGCTTAAAAGATAATGAAGAGCAACTAGTCCACAGAAGATACCTAAAGCTCTGTAAAGAAAACTTCCAGATTCAGAAATGGGAAGAGAAAACAAGGACAACAGCAACAAAAGACAGTGAGGCCCAAAAAGGAAGGTAGCGATTAGTGCAGAACTAAAACAAGTTTGTTTTCATGCTGAATTGAATTTACATGGGTCCAAACTCCTCTGCCTGATAAGATCCTGTGTTTTTCAACAGCCTTTTAGTGAAGGATCTTGCAATTTCTTTTCTAACAGTGGCAGAGATAGGAAACCTGCGTGCTGCACGCTTCAAGCATCTCTCCTTTTAAACATCTTCATGTCCATACATTCTCTGTGGAGGCTGTGTAAAAGGTAGGACAAAGCAGAGGCAACACTGCATATGCAGTGAGCATCTCTCATGATAGAATGATTCATAAAGTTTGTGACACTTGTGAAACTCCTGGGAACAGGAAAAAAAATCCCTTAATCTAGAAGGAACAGATTGAGTAAAGAACAAACTAGGACTGTAAATCCCCCAAAAAGTTACCACAGAAGGATAAAAACCTGCTTGCTGTATTTAATTCGTAAACTAAGATATATTGCAGGGAAAAACATGCAACAGCCATATTTGATAAAAAGAGCCCTGTACTATAACATTAACTGTACGTATAGGTATTACTATGCTTTGTTCAATAAAATGCCAATAAGCCAGATACAAATTACTGCACAGTGCCAAAAATACACCTAATGGCTTGGGACATTTTCTGACTTTAAGTGTTAAGAAGTAAGTTGATGTCTACATGTCTACAATCTGCTTGTTTACGATCTACTTGTCTTCTTGACAGTCGAGGCACAGGAACTTAGAAGACTTAGGTCTCTAAGGTCTTTCTTTTTTCAGTGGAATTTATTTGTGAAATCTCCAGATATAAATAGGAAGAAAGAAAACACCAGTGAAAAGTTTATTTCTAAAAATAGCGTTCTATGACTATTATATAGCACCTTTAAGAAATCACAAGACTCAGAAGAGAAGATTTATATGACATTCCAGATCTACATCTTGTTATCTTTTTGATGTCATTTCCCATTGGCATATTCAAGAACTGTACTCTTTTTCTAAAATAAAATGTTTCGTCTTTCATTTTGATCTTGTTTAGTGGAGTGTTTCTCTTGTTCTCTTGCTAACTTACAGTCAGGGAGAGTCAGTCAGGGAGAATGGGGACACATCATAATCTGCAGTTGTTACTGACTGCCCCTCTTGGCTGCAGCGTGAGAAAGGGAGTTAAAAGTTTTATTAGAATCATTTGGAATCCCACATTTCACTAGCTCACGTATTACAACACTGAACAAGCAATGTACTAAAATACCACCTACTTTACACCTATTGGGCTGTTTTCATATTTTTCCTTTAGATATCAGTCATATCCTGTTGCTTATAAATTATGTGCAGAGGACAAGAGATCTACAGACTAAAGATTCTTTCTGATATTTGGAGCCACACGTGCATCCTCTCCAGCTCACATACCTCACATTTCCATTTGGATCATTTTGATTGGCGAGGAGGAAAAGGGATCCAAAGGTCCAGATGTATTGCAGAAATCATGGGCCTACTTTATTGGCCAAAAAGCTTCTCTTCCAAAAAAAACTTTCAATAACTTATAATGAAAAGTTAATAGTCTTAAACAATAGGAGAAGTAATGCCACAAAATCTTTGGCACAAGGTACTCTACCACCAAGATTCAAAGGTACATACAAACATCAACAGTTCATCAAGACGCTTTTTCCTTTAGAGAGAGATTTGGACAAAGATTGCTGAAGATATTTGCAAGGATACAAAGATATTTGTAAGTTATTGCTCCTCCTCTTTATGACCAGACCAGAATCTTTAGTTTCCAGTGCCTCACGCAGGATAAGATGACACTACATCATATGAAAATGCCAAAGCAGGAAACATTCCACAAAAAATGAGAATGTGCAAATGCCCCACCATTAGTGATATATTTGTCTTTAGTTTTACTTTTTCTGTGTGCTCCTGGCTTTACATCTTCAAGGTCCTTGTGCTAATCCCTAATTTTCCACTTTAATACTTACTGTTCATCCAGTAACACTATGCAATAGTTCCTG